TGAGGGCTGTGCAGGTCTGCAGGTGGTTAGCTGTGGTGCTCTGTTGAATTGGGCATGGAATTTATTTCAAATTTGCAAATTGTCCTTAAAGAAATGTAGCTAGAGTACAAAGCAGAGGCTCTTTCTTGACTTTTCTGTGGCCACTTCACAAGCATAACACAGAGATTTGGACCAGTGACCACAGACTTGAATGGAGGCACTGCAGGGTCCCATTGCAGGGCCTTGCTTGTTGCTGGGGACCTCGGGATGAGTCCAGCATGAGTTCCTGCTGTTGGAGCAGCAGACATGTGGATGAGCGTGCCCATGATCCTGACGCTCCTCACCCCACCTCAGTCCATTGAAGCCTGTTCACTGAGCCCCAGCCCAGGGACACCCTGACCTGGCATCAACTCCTCCACCTCTGCAGTTCTGACAGGTCAGCAGCGTCTCTTTACTAATGGTTTAACCTCCAGAGCTGCCATCAGCCACCCCATCACCACTGCCCAATACAGTCAGGAAAACCAAGGTGCCTGGTGGGAGGTACCACGAGGATGCCTGGTGAGGGCGGGGAGGTGGAGAGGCAGGCAGGGCCTGGGTCACAGGCTGTGTATACAGGTAATGCTCAATCCAAATTTGAATGAGGGCGTGAAAAGGAGGGTGCACTTGGTAATCGCTACCACTGATGACAGAATAAAATGTATGGACTGAAAACAGGAAAGCAGCCGGGAGGGGCGGGGCCTGGGCAGCTGCCGCCTTCCCAGCGAGCTGCCGGTGGAGCCGAGCCGCAGATCTGAGACTGCTGGACTGTTGGCAGCTCGGCATCTGAGACGGGGTTGCGTCTTATGCCGATGGCATCCTGGCAATCGTGGGAAGTGTTGCTGCTGTCAGCTGGTACAGCCGCTCCTTTTGCTGTGCCTCTAATCGAGGGAGGGGCCAGGGTGGCTCTGCGCAGGTTGAGTTTCACGATGAACTCCCACTGTGTTCTGCTTTTCCTTTTAGTTCCAGTGCAATCAGTGATAAGATCTATGCTGACTGGTTCTACAGGGCTTCTCCATCGTAGAAAACAGAGCGCGCAGGTGATGACAGGCGCTGTGACATGGCTAAATGGCAGCATTGTGTCTTTTTTAAAGGCTCATAAGTACCCATGAGCTCTGTGACTCATAGCATCTTGATCCAAAGAAACGAGAAGGGAAATCCTGGGGGCCAGGGGGAGACCTCCGTGACCATGGTGTGTGAGGAAGCGGACGGGCGACAACAGCAAGCCGAGTGCCTTTCCTTCATCACATCTAGACGCACTTCTCAACAGCCTCTAGTATCTGATGGTTTCAACCCTGTGCTTAATTCAGATGTTCACACCCTGGAGAGCAGCCCTTTACGGCTGGGCAATGTCAGTGAAGCCCAGTCAGCATGAGCCTCCCCGTCCAATGACAGGAGCTGATCGAAGTTTCCCTGTTCTGTTCTGTCAGCTTCAGCTTCATAGCAGCTGCATTTATTTGTGATTTTAGATCTATTACCTTTCAAGGGGATAAGGCTAATTCAAGAAATGTTCCAAAGGGCATCCTTATATTAAAATGGGTATTCTGTGGTGCAAGCCTCTGTGCAGAAGTCAGTACATAGTTAATCAGCCTTGCATTCATATCACATCTACAATCAGGACACGACGGTTAGACACTTCTTTGGGCATAGAGCAAAATGCTGAAAATGAAATGGAGATGAATCATAAAAATCAAGGGTGTGTGACGAGGTCAGAGACACTGAAGAAGAGACAGAGCCCACTCTGAAGCCCAGCCTAACCACGAGGGTCACTGTGCAATAGGTGCTTGGGCTTGGTGTTGCCGGCTGACAACAGCAAGGGATCTCTCCAGGGTCCAGGGAGCAGCTAGAAGCCGAGGGGCAGCAGTCTTCTGCTTCACAGTTGACTAAGCGGGGACTGGATGGTGGATGGAAGACCTTGACCCAGCTGGGAGGGATCCTGCTGGACCCTCCTGCTGGCCACCTGCTTCCTCTCTTACTGGCGTGGACTGACTGAGGAGGTTGTCCCTGTTCCTCTCCCTCCTGGTGGCTGAGTGAGGGGGTCGTCCCTGTTCTTCTTCCACCTGGTGGACTGACCCTGACTACACTACTTGTAGTGTAAAGATGCTATGGGAGGTGCCTAGGAGTCGATTTCATCTCTCCTTTGATGTAGTTCTCCTTTGTTATTCTCAACAGATTTTTTTTTTTTTTTTAAATAATATCTTTATTTATTTATTTATTTTTATGTGGTGCTGAAGATTGAACCCAGTGCCTCACCTGTGCGAGGCAAGCGCTCTGCCACTGAGCCACAGCCCCAGTCCCTCTAAACTGATTTTTTAAAAAAACCTGAGCTCCCCTTTATTGTTGCCCAAAAGAAAGCCATACTGGGCATTTCCAGGCCCCACGGAGCCCATGGTCCAGCAGGAGCAGATGCGTAGTGGTCATTGAGTCATGGTTTTTACCAGGTTTCACAGTGTCCTTCAGCCTGTCATCCCCCTCCCCCCTCCCCCCATCTGCCAGGGGTTGGCAAGGCCAACCTGAAGTGGAGAGGTCATTGACCTGTCCCCCAGAGACACGGCAGGGAGGGGGAAAATGAACTGGTTTCCGTTCTTTGTGGACTGGACAGGAAGGAGGAGAGTGGAAGGTGTGAGGAGGGGCTCCACGTCCTGGCCTCCTGCTGGGGCCTCCCTGCAGGGACCTGATGGCGCTTCTGCTCCTGAGACAGCTTTGTTTTTAATTTGCACTTTAGGTGACTTCTAAAGAAAAAGAGCCTCCTAAAGATGAGAGCGGACCACCTAAAACTCAGGATTCTGTTTACTATGCCAAACAAGGAAAGAAGAAACCGCTGGCAGACCCTCTAGTCCAAATGGGCACAGGTAACGGGCACCTCACTGTGCTGCAGCCGGGCTGGGAGCTGCTGGCCTGGCAGAGTGTGTGCACATTGTGTGCTTGGGGCGGATTGTATGTGGCAAAAATCTCTCTTGATGTGTGACCCTCTGATTAGACTAAATGTTCGCTGGAAGGACCCTGTTGGAGCAGTCACAGTTGCCAGGCTGCAGTGGGAGGACAAGTGTAGGTTTAAAGTCAGCCGTGTCAGGGGTCTGTCTGTCCTCCCTGAGAGGACCAGTGACAGAAAGAAGAGAGAAACAGGACACAAAAGCCACCTGTGGTGCACACACACCTTCTGAGGATGGGCGAAGGGTAGAGGATGACCCAGACGGGTTCTAGCCACGCCCTTGCTTTGCCAGCTCTCCTACCCTCCCTGAGCCCTTGCTGGGCTCCTGTGGGTGATGGGCAGGTCCTGCCCACACGGAGGGGACTGCGCAGGGAGAAGGCCCCGTGGCTGGTTATGGAGGAGACGGGCAGCAGGGGCATCTGCAGCATCTGGACCGTCTTGGAAGCTGTCTTTCTGAAAGCCTTCTCCTCGGGCTCTGCCTCCGTCCAGCACAACCAGGGGTCTTCTGCCCTGATTATTCCCCAGCTTCCTCTGTGTGGGCAGCTTGCATTTCCCTAGATTCCCTCACTCCCTTTTCCTTGCTGGCCTCCCTGTCCCACAGTGAAGGCCCACCATGTGGGCTGGTTGGGCACCCGTGTCGGTGGGATCTGTCTGTCCCCATGGAGAGTGCCAGGGAGGCAGATGGACCTGCTCCAACAAGACCCGAGAGCCTGGCTTGGCCTCGGATCCAGGGCACTGGACCTGCTCCCCTGACATCTCCTCACACATCGAGGACAATGAGGACTTGGTCACTGCATGTGAAGTCTGTTTTTTGCAACATGGATCCCATACAGGGGAAGCCCCATGGCAGGATTGGCCTTTGGAGCTCAGATTCGAGCTGCGGCCCTTACTGCAGGTGTAACTGTGGGTAAACTGCTCGCCGGGGGTGGGCGTGTCCACTGCAGGGTTGCTGCAAGTGTTAATTACCAGACGCGTGGAAGAGGACCCAACTCTGAACGTGGGGTGGGTGTTTCTTCCCTGCCTTGTTCCCACGCCCCTCCCATGGGAGAGGGCCCTCCAGCTCAAGCCCTGGGGCAGTCACTGTGGGCCAAGGCTGGGAAGGGAGGAGAAGGACAAGAGCAGGCCAGGTGAGGGGGGCCGGGCCAGGGCTTTGACTGAAGGGAGCTTCCCTTCTGGATACTGCACCCACCGGTGGCCGTGCTCACTTTGCGGGTGCTGAAGGCCAGGCCAGGACGTTCCACTTCTGTTCTCATCTGTTGCCTCTGATCAGGGTGAGGGTACATTTTTCAAGAACCTTGGAATTTTAAAAGTGTTTAAGACATCTAATCATAGTGATAATCAGAGCGACTTCTAGCAGTCCGTTAAAGGTGAGTAGCGCCTAGCCGTTCAAACCCAGATCATGAATACACTTTGGGCTGTATTTCCTGGAAGTATTTCTATGATTTCTTATTTATTTATTTCTAACGGGATCAACTGAACACAGGCTTGGCACATGTTCGTCTTAGCTGACCGTGAGCTGGACGGTCTGCCGGGGGTGGGGGTGTGCAGTGTGCCCGAGCCTTCTCAGGCCCAGCACCTTCAGGAGTAGAGACATAGACAGACTCTGCAGAAACGGGGCCCCCTGAGCTGGGCAGCTGGGCTCCTGCCAGCTGGAAGCCCCGGTGCTGTGCTTCGTAGCTGGTCTGGGTTAGGAGATGTCCCATGGCCTCGGTTTCTGCCGGGTTCAGAAAGCCCATCTGTGTCGTCTTCCCTCACAAGGTGATGTGTATAGAGCCCAGAAGCCCACCAGGGACACCCAAGGGGCACCGGACATCAAGGAGGACCAGGACGTGCAGGTGGAGGTGCCGGTGGACCAGGTGGGTGGCGGGCCCAGGACGACTCTGTTGTCCACCCCTGGACTGTGCTCTCTGCCTCAGCTTCATCCCTGCCCCCTTTCCCTCAAGTTCTCTTGCTCTAGAATGTTCCATGTTCCCCCCAGTTAGCCACTGCCCAGCCTCAGATCCAGTTTCAGGCATTTTCCTGTCTGTCCCTCCCTAGCACCTGTGTAACTGTGTATTTAACCTGTCACTATTTTGTTATTGTCTCTGCCCCTGCTAAGCTGTGGACTCCTCAAGGGAGGGGACTGGTGTGCTTTGCTGTAGCCCTGTACCTAGCAGGGTCCTGGCCCTTGCAGCGATTTGTGGGATGACTGAACGAGGGAATAAAGGGCAGAATCAGACTGTGAGCATGAGCCCTGGGCTCATCCAGCCTGGGAGGACTCACTTAGGTGGCCCAGGAGGTAATGCACAGGCAGGGGCCTGTGGGGATGGGAGGGCGGCACAGCATGGGGTGAGGGGGCTGTGTTGGTGAGGAGGAGGCCAGGGCACCGGTGAGGGCTGGGCAGAGACAGAGGCTGGGATCCAGCCCAGCTCACCCTGCGTGCCTGGGCCAGTCTCCCCAGCTCTCAGGCTCCGTCCCTGCTCCTGTGAAGGAGATGGTGCCAGATGGGCCCCCAAGCCCAGGATTTTGTTTTCACTGTCCACCTGAAGGCACTGAAAGTGCATTTCCAAATGTCAGCTTTGGAGAAAAGAATTTTATTCATCAAAGATCAATATTAGCATATGAGTCCACTTTTCCCCTCTTAGAGAGCCCAGGGCCACCCCTGCCCTCAGGACCACACAGCATGGAAGTCCAGCAGCCAGGGTGCTCTATTCCTCTTCCTGTGCCCGGCACTCTGACCGCTGCCCTCATTCTACCTCCTGGGAGGCGATCTGCTGCAGCCCGGGCACCAGTTCTGTGCTGTCCACTTCGTGGGCATTTGGAGGGTGTCCCACGAGTCCCTGCTGTTGCCTCACCCACCAGTGACGTGATTCACTCTTTCCCTCGGCATCGCAGAAAATGACCCAAAGATGTGGTTTTCTTTTAAAACCCAACAGTTTAAGAATGTTTTGGCCCCTTGAGCCATCTCTGGTAATGTGGGACGAGGACGTCTTAGGCGGCTGCTTTTTGCCACATTGCCCTCACTGCTGCCGCATGACTGTGCCCTCTGGGTGTCGGGTCACCGGGCGCGGCTGTGCTAGCCCTGTCAGTGGGCGTGTTCATGTTTGGGCTTTGGTGATCTTGGCGTCCTTTGAATTTGAGTTGGGGCAGTGGATTCGCTTACCCAGAGTAATGAGTGAGAGGAAGAAGCGGGTCCCTGGTGGGCGGGGATGCCCCTGAGGGCTGCTCGGAGCAGGAGCGTCCTGTGGGCTCCGGGAGGCCGGGCGCCAGGCCGTCAGGCTGCAGTGGAGCAGGGGCTTCCAGAAAGAGCTTTCTGCCAGGGAGTGTCCAAGGCAGGCTTGGCCCCATGAACTGAGACTTCCTGGTGGTCAGCACAGGTTCCAGGCCTCGGGGACGTGGAGCACTTCCCGCCAGGCGTGTGCCCAGCCTGAGGCCCCTGAGGTGAGGTGCTCGGCATTCTGTAGACCTCTGTCCTGTCCACTGTGGACCTCTGTCCTGTCCACTGTGGACCTCTGTCCTGTCCACTGTGGGCCTCTGTCCTGCCCTCTGTGGATCTCTGTCCTGTCCACTGTGGGCCTCTGTCCTGCCCTCTGTGGATCTCTGTCCTGTCCTCTGTGGGCCTCTGTTCTGCCCTCTGTGGACCTCTGTCATGCCCTCTGTGGACCTCTGTCCTGCCCTCTGTGGGCCTGTGTCCTGCCTGCTGTGGATCTCTGTCCTGCCCGCTGTGGATCTCTGTCCTGCCCGCTGTGGACCTCTGTCCTGTCCACTGTGGACCTCTGTCCTGCCTGCTGTGGCCTGTAGTAGACACACTCATTTTACTGTAGCCTCATCAGTGGGTCTCGACTGAGAGCAGGGGTAGAAGTGCCCCTGTGCCAGTCTTCTCTGTGGCCACAGAATCGTGTGGCTCCCCTGAGTGGACAGAGGTTCCCAGACACTGAGGCAGCTCACTGCCTTCCCAGAAGCCACGGCTCTGGGAACAATTCCAGGCTGTGGGAGGAGCACTGCTACAAGGGTGACCTCTGCGAGGTGGAGAGGGTGTCTCCTGAGCAGCCTCCTGAGGGGTCCTCGGGGGCACACACGGATTAGGAAGGAACCCATGGTCTGCAGGCCAGAGGCGGCTGGAGGGACCTCAACATTCCTTTACACAGAGAAAGGATTTACCTTCTGTCTCCCTAAAGATTTCTCCAGAATTGTGCTAAGCATGTTGTGTTTTGCTGGTGGAGCCAAAGGTGGGAGCAGGCAGAGGCTCCCCTGCTGGCCTGGACCGCTACCCCAGGAGCTCTGCTTAGGAGCCTGGCGGGGGCCAGGCTTGGCCGAATGTGAAATGTGGTATGTTTCCCCCCCAGGCCCCTGCAGAGGTGGTTAAAGAAGATGAGGAGTCAGAAAGCACCCGTGACTTTGAAGGCATCCAGGTGAGAGGTTCTACTTTGTTCTTAGGCTGGGCCTGAGTACCTCCTTGGCGTCCAGTACGCTGACATTCAGGGCCCGAGACCACAGGCTGCGTCCCCAAGCCAGATGAGGGCCAGAGGTGAAGCGCTGGGTACTCCCCAGCAGCCAGGCCGGGGCCAGGCCTCCTATGTGACGGAGGGATGCTTGGGGGGGACTTCACTGTCTTCTCTAGTCTCCGTCACCTGTCACTGTGCTCGCTGTCACACCTGGCCACTTCCCAGCTCGCTTCCAGGTATTTTTAGGGAGCACATCAGGAGGTGAGGAATCAGGGTCGCGTGGGTGGCTCCGTATGGCTGATGGAGCCGACCCTTGGGGACAGGGGCTGTGCTGGTGGCAGGTGGCAGCAGGGCTCACCCATGCTTGCCGTGCTTTCCTGTCCAGCGGTTTGGAAACACAGTCCACACAAGCAGCAGGTTTCCGAGGCGGAGAACACGACGTGCTGATGGTCTACCTAAAACGTGGGGGGAGGACACGATCCACCGGATGTGCGATGGACAGCCGAGAAGGGGCTGTTTGGTCTCTAGATGCTTTCAGGGTATTTCCCTCTCTTGGACGTTGGGCCTCAGACAGAGGCCCCTGTGTCTGTTCTGATGCTGAGCCCACAGAGCTGAAGACCTGATGGCCTTTGAGCCACATCTCCTGCTCTTAAGCTGGCCCACAGCTCCAGGTGGCTTCCAGGTGGTAAAAGGGCACAGGAGCCACCTGGGGTGCCTGGGACTTCACCCGAGCTGGCAAGGGGGTTTGTGGGGAAGACAGTGGGTCCTCAGGAAGTTGTTCAGGTTTTAAAGAACACCAAAGAAGTGTGGGGTCTGAGCCAGTCAGAGGACACCCCTCCAGCCTTCGCACCGTCCCGTCTCACGTGATTCTGACATGCAGGCAGTTTTCAGTGGACGGTGGTCCACCTGCCTCTAGGAGGGTGGGGAACTCCTTCAAATGAGGAGCAAAGGTCACATTTCGTTTCTTTGGTGGCAGGGAGTAGGAGCATTCTGAGAGCAGGAACAGCAATAAAGAGATTCCCCCAGAGCCTCAGGAAAGGGGCAGCAAGCCCACCTGCTGGTGCTGGGCAGACAGGAGTGGGCACTGCGGGCCTGTGGACAGCTTGAGTGCGTGTTTGCACAGAATCCTTGGGGCATCTCTGTGGCATAGTCTGCAGTCTCCTGAGTGCCAGGTGTGGCCTTCTGTCTTTCTGATCTGCCGTGGAACCTGGCTAGGGCTCCGGGCATGGCATACACTGTAGGAGCTTGATAGCAGCCGTAGCAGATTCAATTTCTTAGAGTGAATCAAATGTCTTCCTTGGTGTGAGCAACGCAGCTGGAATAGCAGCAGACCCAGTCGGGGAGGTGAGAGGGGTCAGCCCTGTGGGGGTGTGAGTAGGGCGTGACGGGCTGGAGGGGCAGCCAGACCCAGTTAGCAAGGGACCAGTCTGGAGAACCTTGACTGAACCAGCCCGGAAGCTCTTTCTTCTCCCTCTGAGCCACGTTGGCTCCCTGTGATTCCCCAGAAGAGACTCTTGTGGTGGGTTCAGCTGTCGGCTCCTTGCTCCCAGGTGACAGGCTCACTGCGAGGGTGCTGTGGCTCCAGCGTGTGATGCACCTGGGAGCCTTTTGGTTCCACCAGGCCCACACAGCTGCGTCTTAGCCTCTGGCCTGACCTCAGCAAAACACTGTTGGTGTGGCATTTCCTGGCATGAAACACCTCGTGCGGTTGACAAATCTTTGGCCGAAATCCTAGTTTGTGATTTTGAGGGCTTGCCCCCCATGGCCGGGGAAGAGATCCCCTCAGGTGACCTGGCCGGTGGCCTCAGTGGCCCCTGCCATTCTCAATGATTGTGGGTTCACTTGGCATTTCATCTGCACGTCCACCTGGCAGGTCACTCAGGACTATTTGGTGCTGACCACCTTACCTTTTTAGGTGTGTGATTGCAGCCTGGACCACCCCTGAAGTTGGCTGTGAAATCCTTGTGCTGCAGAGACTGTGCCTTGTCATCTGAGGTCCCACAGTATCTTCAACTCAGCAGATGTTTAAGGAAGTCTGTGGATTTGAGTTACCTAAGATTAAGTTGCTTAACTTAAGTAAGCATGCAGGCATACAGCACTAATGACCCAGTAGAGTGGTAAGAGAACAGGTCATCCTGAACATGACTTAAATATATATACAGACACATAACCTAGGATTTGCTCTCTGGCCATTTTAAACGTGCGATTCAGTGACATTAGTTACATTTATGGTGGTGCACAGTCATGGCCATGATCTGCTTTCAGGGCAATTTTGTCCCACCAGACGGACACTCTGTGCCTGCTGAGCACAGGTGCCCTCTCCCTGCTTCTTTGCCCTGTCCTTGTCTGTAAGTGCTGGCAGCCTTGGGGCTTGGGGCTGAAAGTGTGTGCAGTGGAAGTGTCAGAAGCCGGGCCAGCCGGGGAGGTGTCAGGGCCAGCCGGGGAGGTGACATGTGCGCTTATTGGGCCATTATGTAAGTCGGTGGTGAGAAGTGGGTAAAGCAGAATACAAACAGGGCTCTGCTCTGCATGGCACTTCTTCATCCTCAGAATGCTTAACCTCTAATTGCACAGTCTGGATGACCCTGATGACATTTGGCCTGTTAACCACACTTTTCATCTTACAATGGAATTATCGTTAATTAACTAATTTGAAGGCTCTTCTGTGAAATGATAAAGATGAGATGTGTACTTCGTCCTTTTACTGATATCAAATCGTGTTCGCTGCATTCAATGTTAATTACCCTGTACTGTTTGAACCAGGGTGGACTGGAAGTTTCTCAGTTCTTATTGCTTGATTTATTTGGACCCAGTGATTGTACAATGATTTATGTGCAAACAGCACTTTTTCTTACCTATGCTGCTTGCTAAGTTTGTAAAAGAAGGTATCAAAAATTTGAAAGCGTCCTTTCTAAAGGACTGTGGATGAGGCGAATGGTGATGCTGAGCAGGTACCCAGGTGTGCGTCTGGGGCTCTCTTGCCCTGGAGATCCCCAGTGTGGCCTGGGGACCAGCTCTGCAGGGAGGCCACAGAGGAGCCTCCAGGCAGGAGTGTCAGGGCCGCGGTGGCTCTGAGTGCCGTCTTGACTCCGAGTTATCAGCTTTCGACAGGCGTGATAGGAACTGCATGGCCAATCTTGTGTGCTCAGTAAGGAGCTTGGGCCCCTGAGCTCTTGGGGCCCATGAGGTGGCACCCTTCCACACTGACCCCCAGATCATTTTCCTCTCCTCTGTGCAGTTTATTTCTCAGCAATTTACCAGGGTGCCTGGCTCAACAATCTCTCTACACAGTAGGTTACAAACTCAGTCCTTGACTTCCTTTGCCCCTGATTCCTGTGTCATCGGGCTACCCTGGCTTTTGTCAGAGTGACCTGTGTACCCGCTGTGTCACCTCTGATAGATGCAAGGGTCTGGACTTAATTCGTGTTGTTGCCAACTTTAACACAGTTTATGTTCCCTGGCTGATCTTGAACTTGACGGAGAACTGGGAAGACACTAGGTGACCCTCGTCCAGCTCTGGAGGCAGTGAGGGCCCTTTAAAGGCCTCTGGTGCAGAGGCTGGGTGTGGCCAACTGGGCAGAGAGATTCTCGCAGAGGGTTATAAGAGAAGGTGGATATTCCAGTGAGTCTCATCAGGCTGCATTGTACCTAAGAAGTGATCATCCCAAGGTCATATTTCTCTAGATGAAAACTAAACTTTTCTTTTCGGAAAATATCATAAAGTTAAAAGTTAACCAAGGTGGTTGAAGAGAGTAGCTCAGTGGAAGAGCACTCATCTAGCATGTGTGAAGTCCTGGGTTTCTATTCCCCATACCAAAAAGAAAGTTAATCAAAATAAGGAAAAAAATATTTGCAATGCAAATAAAGTTTTCTTAATTTATAAAAAGCTCACAAATAACTAATATAAAGACAGCCCAATGAACAGAAAGGCAAATGAAGCCAAAACTTACTGGGAAGAATACAAATCTACTAATTCAGATATAACCATCTCATTACTAAATAAAAATGCAAATAATAAACCAAGAGATTCCCCCTTAGAATTAGCTTTACAATGTCCAGTATTAGCAAATGCAGGATGAGGATGTGCACATGGCGGCAGGAGACAGCGGTGCCTATTAGGGTGACATGAACTGATGCAGACTTAGAAACGGCTTTTTGCTCTTTCTATTAAATTAATGTGTGTTTGTCGTTTTTCATTATCATCTTAGAATCTGAAAAATCCAAGTAGATCAATCAGCAGCACAGGCAGTGCTCCTCCGTAGGGTAGCTCTATTACCCTATGCTTCCCTGGAGGATGGAACGGAAGACCGTGGAGACAGCAGCAGGTAGACTGAGGAGCCCAAGGCTGGCTGCTCCCAGGTGTTTGTTGAGTGGAATCAAACCAGGATGCAGGGGAGCGGAAGGTACAGCTCAGGCTGAGCAGTAAGGCCACGCATGGAGATCAGGAAGGGTGGTCTCAGGACACAGGGCAGAGATGAGGGCCAGGGCCAGGGGCCAGGGGCCAGGCTTGAGATGCCACTTCTGCTGCTCTTAGCAGAGACGGAAGTGTTCTGACCCAGAGCCTAGGGGAGAAGGGAGGCCCAGGGCTTGCTTTACAGTATCCTTTTTGCAGATACTTGATCATGATAGATATATATTTTAATAATAGGAAAAAGAAGATGAAAAGATTTTTGAAGATATTAAAAATAAGGTTTGTATCAGTAAATGGTAGTTTTGTGTTTCCCATTCTGAAGGCAGGATAACCGTGGACCCTCAAGGCTTCAGATGCTTTTTAAAAGTACAACTTCCATGCCTGTCACTAGGGTTAAAAAACAAACTCAGGAAAGGAAGCCTCGTGGAGGCATTGCCAATGGTGGATAATCCACTGCAGAGCGAAGAAAATGCAGAGGGTAGCTGCTGGGGCAGCAACCTGGAACCCTCCCTGGCCTGAGCAGTCAGCACCTGGGGTGCTGGCTCGGGCTCCCAGCAGCAAGAACAGCTGCACCTTCAGACTCACCACACTGAGGGATGCAGGTGCCACCTGCTCAGGGTGTGGGCAGAAGTCAGACTCCCAGCCCCCAAGGCTGCAGGCCAGCAGGGTCCCCACCTGGCAGCTGTAGGTCCTCACCTCCAGCTCTGTGTTAGCTCTGTCCTAAGTAAAACAGGCTCCCCTCATCATTGGTTAGGTGACCAAGTGTCATGGTGAATTTTGTCTGGGTGTGGACAATTTCACTGACTTGGACCACAATTCCCTGGGACTCCATGAGGATAGTGGGCCAGGCCCAGGCGCGTGGGAAGGAAGGCATGGGCTCTGGCATTCCCGCCACTAGTGGAAGGGGCCAGCCACCACACACCCGTTGTGTGGCTTTGGGAACACACCTTGAAAGCTCAGAGTCTTTGTTTCCTCCTGTGTAAAGTTCATTTGTTTATTTATCCCACCTCCAGGATTAGAGAGAAAAATCTGCTCAGTGCTTTTATTTTTATTAGCAGAAGAATCCTGACAGTGCTCTGCCGAGGGCCAGGCACAGCGTGTGGTTCCCTGTGTAGGTGCTAATGTGCCAAGAGCACGTGGAGGAGCCTGGACTCCAGCTTTAGGGCTTCTGTTAGCTGGCCAGGTGTCCTTGTCAAGTGTAACCCTCCACCTTGGCTGAGTCAGTCAACAATTATTTTACAAATTTACAAAATCAGTGAGACAATGGCTTTGAGAGTTCCTGAAAAGCGTATCTAGGCTTAAAATGGGGATTGTCTTATTTGAACTTCAGCTATCCTTAAGTTAGGCAATGAGAGCTCACATTCCTCAGCTTGAAATTGGGCACTCGGTCGTTCAGCCCCATGTTAAAATTAGTGTGACCCGTTTTATCCCTGGCATCCTGTCCTCGGAACTCTCAGCCACCACCTACCATGGGCTGGCGAGACGATGACCTCGGTTCACAGGTGTCCCCGTGAGCATAAACAACATCTGGTTTTAACGTCAAATGATGCTTTGGAGAATTTATCACTTGTTTGGCACCCGTGGCTTGTGATCTTTTAAGCAGAAAGTTTTGCCAAACACTTTCCAGAACTCTAGTGAAAGGGGTGCAGCTGGGGACCAGTGCAAAGGGTCTGCAGACAGCTTTCCTGAGCCTCAGTTTCCTCTCTGAAAACCTGGGCTGACGTCCAACTTGTGAGGCTGGTGTGAAAATTAGAAATATTAGTGCAGTGCCTTCTTGGTGGACTGGGTCTGGTATTATCTGTTATTTCCAGTCTAATCTCAATTCCAGCCGAGGTTAAAGTCCTTGAGAGCAGGGGTTAGATTTTACTTTTATTTGTTTCTCTCTGCATCAGATGCACCCAATAGCTTACTTGCAGGTTTAGAGTTTTCTTCTATATCTCACGTTAGTTTAAAAGTGAGAAAACTTTGTTAAATGGCACTAGATGTTTATTGTAGAATTGTTAGCAAAAGCATACAGGAAGAAAGGAGAAAGAAAGAAAGCACTGACTTCCTCTTTGAGACTGTTTTCACTTTTGGGTATGGATTGTTTTCCATTTCTCATGTATTTTTATGTGGTGCATTAAAAAGTTGCTGAAATCTATTTTTAAAAATGCTGTGAATCAATATTGAGGAAATCTCCCACATTTAAAACTTTTTTTATCAACTTCATTTAAAATGTTGATTTTATTTATTTGGAATCGATGTGAATGATTTTAGTGGAGCTGCCGCTGAACCAGGCACCCAGGTCGCCAAGAGATTATGGCCATGGGTGTGCCGTCTTTCAGGGCCACCCTGCGCCAGCTGCCTGTGGCACGCCGTTCTCTTTGATCCCAGACCAGTTTCCCTCCCCCTCCCCCACCCCTTTCTTTTAAACTAAACAAATACTCAATTTGATTTCTCATGGGTTATGTTTTGTGATTATAATGAAAATTAAGAGAGACTTAAGAATAGCAAACAGATGGAATGATTCATCCCATAATAGATTTGAAAGTTTTAAATCGTGGCTCTAGATGTGGAGTTGTTCTGTTTCTGTCCTGTATGTGATAACAACTCTCTACAATGTCACACTATCAAAGAACACCAGGGACCCTGGGCGTGCAGTGCTTTTGCATTATGAGGTATGATACAACTCTGTGGACCATGTCTGACACACAGACATCAAGCCAGGTTGCCATGGTGACAAATTTCCAGCTGCAAAGTGTGTAAGAAGATGAAAAGAGAACTGTGAAACCTCTAAAAAGTCTTCAAAATCATGTATCATTTTAGGTGTGCTATTAGTAACAAAGTAGCCAACGTAAGATGCTTATATTGATGCTCATTGTTGGGGGAGCGGTGGTCCTTTCAGAGGTGTTTTGTAAGTTCACGATGATGCTAACGTGGCATATCGGGGCAAAGTCCTTCACATGCATGTTGGAGGCAGCACAAAGCCTGTGGCGCTTCCACTGTGTGAGACTTTTCTGGAAAATAGCAAGCTTTGTCTGCCTCTGAGGCGTTTGCATTTTTAGTGCTTTGTAGAAACGAGTAAAAAATTAACCAAACAGCATATGATTAGAATTTATTTTTGTTTAAATTCATTCCTTGAGATACTTGTAAAAATTGTATGTGATTGGGTGTCACTGTGCTGATGAGCTCACAATGTCTGTAAATTGAAATGTTTAGGATGCGAGCACAAGTCAGGATCCGCTCTCTGGTCGGATTTGGTGGTAGAGTGTTGAGAACCATTTTGCAGGTTATTTGCCCCAAGCTAGAGTTAACGGGAGATGTGCTCCGTGTGGCAGGGTCTGTGTGGTCTCCACAATGAGGTGTCGATGTGTTTTGGCAAGTTTACGATTTAATTTTCTTGCCAAGGAAGCACGGTTGATAAATAGTGCTGGGCCATTGACCCGGAGCGGGCAGTGCCCAGGTGAGGAGAGGAGGCAGGTGCATCCTCAGAGGAGGCTGGCCCACTGTGCCAGGTGGGACATTCCACCTGTGACACCACGGGCTCTTTTCTGGCCCGAGTTCCTGATTTCTTTGTGTGTGGGGATGGCCCCCAGGTTTCTCTTGAAGAAACACCCGTTCCCATGGATGTTTAGGATTGTCTCTGGCCTGGTCCTTCCCTCTCCTTCCAAGGCCGCGTCTCTGCTGCGCATCTCCTCCCAAGGAGAGATCCTGCGGGGAGTCCTTTTTGCGTGCCCTTCCTTCAGCGCCAGTGTGCTGTTCCAACCACGCCGTTTTCCAGATCACCCCAGACTCCCTGTTTCCCAGCGTCTGCCAAGTGCTTTAGCTTTTTTGCCAGGGTCCCATCTCTGTGTCTGGAGTGTCTTCTGCTTGGCGTTCTGACGGCTCAACTATTTCCTAACAAACCCAAGCACACAGGATTAGGATTTAGGGTAAGAGGGATTCATTCTTCACATAGTATTCCATGCTGTTGGAACCTAGGAAATGTCAAGACACAGTTGGACTTTGGATGGAGACGTAATGACAAGATTAAGAAAGGAAAGGAACACTGTGGTAGTTTGGGTACAGTCAGTGTGGAACAGCAGTCTGTCACTGGTTAATGTATCTTTAATGTGCTTATTTCTTAAAAAGAGTCATCTTGCTCTGCTTTTTAATTCTTGTTATTATGACTCCACCTGAAACCATAGTATGCTTAGAAACTCATTGGGAATTGAAATCTCATCAGACTGATGGAGGGGTTGAAGGAGACAAGGGCTTCCCAGTGACACATCTCAGTCCAGGAGGCTCCCCCGAAGCCGAGCACCGGTGCACCTCGTGCCAGCATCAGACAGCCCAAGACAAGACCCCGTGAAAACAAGTGAGTAGCTGATACACTACGAGCTGTAAGCGAGTGACAAAACAGTGCAACTTTGCTTATATGGTCAAAGAAGAGCATTAGACCGACTAACGGGAATGATGGTTAAGTGACATAACTCACCTAACAAGTGCTAAGCTTTCCTTCGCCTGCAGCTGTTGATGGAAACACCCTGTACGCATCTCACTGAAATAAAGGCGAATGTGAGTCCGTAACAGTGACCTAGTCCTGTGGCTTGCTTTATCAGTCAATCAGCACAGGGCTTAGTTAATTACCCTCGCTAGAGATGCCAATAAAGCCAGGGTGCTTTTGATCTAGCTTTGTCTCTGACTCAGGATTTTTGTGACAAAATGAAAACAGCATTGATTCTTTAATTGATTTTTAAAATTCATTGCCTGCCCACTCTCTTTACAATTTTTTCCTCTTTATTATCTTGATACTACCCTGTCACCACAGTTAAGTATTTTATTGTTTTCCTAAGAGAGAGGGTCGATATTGTTCAACACTGGAGTCTCAAAAGCTAAGTGTTAGTCATCAATAATGCTAAGTGGGATCATGGTGGATTGAAAATTAAGTAGTGCAATGTTTAGGGAATTACACGGTTCCAGGAAAATGAACGTTGTATTTCTCTATACATAGGCGATCCATTTAGATTCAAGTAAAGGAGAGAGCTTCACCTTCCAGTGGAAAAAGTGCCCCCCTCCAGCACATCTGCAGTGCCTTCCACGTCAGGCTCACTTTTAATAGGACGCGAGGTACTGAGTGGATGGCTCAGAGCAGCCGAGTGGGAAGGAGGGGTGACCGGCTCCAGCCTAGTCTAGAGGCAAGCCAGAGGAAGAGGACTGGAGGGCCAGTTGGCACTGCCTCACCAGGGTGTTCCCACACCTGCTGACTGGGCTGGGACGCGGATTCTCAGTCTCCTTCCTGTCCCAAAGTGCACCCAGGTCCCCCTCCCAGCATCAGGGGT